AAAAAGGCAACTTCTTAGAGTTCTTAGAGTCCCATTGAAGGAACCCACATTTGCCCCATTCTGGTTGAAGTGAGGGTGCAGTTGTCTCCAAAGACTAAACTAAATGTTTATACTAAGTGAGTCACACTCTTCCTTGAACTCATCTAAGCTCCTGGGTCTAAGTATAGCTTTTTCAATATTCTGCCCGTGATCAATTTATTTTAAGGTAAAATGATTTGCCATGTCTGTATACTGAGAAGCTGAACCCTGTTTGTGAGCTTTGTAGGGGAATAGTTGACATGAATGGCATTGTCATTCGGTTCCTGAAAATGTGGTATCTTGTTAAACAAATTCCAAAGTAGGCACTTATTTCCTGAATACAGGGAAATTTCGTTTTTGCATGCAGTGAAAAGAAGAAAGAGCTGCATGAAACAGTGCAAAGTAAACATGGAGGTTTGTGGGAACCAAGGCAACACATTAAACCTTAACTCATTCTCATGGAAATATTTCTTGTGGAGTGAGGGTTTTTCAACTAATTGACAGTAGTTTTGCCTTTTGCAAAGACATTATGTGGAGGCCTCCCATACTGGAAATCTAGAGACAACATCACTCTCACTGATCAAGGCTCTGTCCCCTGGGTTTCCTGTGTCATAAAATGAGCAAATTCTGAAAAGTCTTGGAAGTTCTGCAGATATCCTGTCACTCCTGCAAATTTGGTAAACCAAGTTGGAGGCCCATGATGAGGAATGAGTTATCCTGCTCTTAGAACTTTCATTAGGTCATCCTTAGGTGGGTAACAATAATTGGGATTTTGGCAAATTCTTTTCATCCTGTAATTCCAATATCTACATTGCAGAATACACTGACATCTGACCCTCCCTTTCTGCATATGGTTACTATCTTTTCTGAAAATCAAGACATCAGAGTGGCCGAGATTCTTAAACCAAAACATGATGGCGTGGGCCATTTCTAAAGGAAGCCAAAAGCAAAGATCATTACACTTACCTGAGAACTGTGAGTCTCTGGGCTCTACCAGGGCATATTAGATGACTGAAAAACACCAGAAAAGACAAGGCTGTGATCAGTACGGGAGACATGCAGTCTTGCATTCAAGTAGAATGTGAGACTAGGTCCTTGTTGGCACACAGTCTTGCCAAGACAAGTTGACCAGGAGTGTCCAGGTTTCCTCTCAGGGGAAACAGGACAAGGGCTTGTGAGGACCTCAGAAAAGTCCCCCCAAGAGGTCCCCAATGAGTGAAAGGACCACTTGGACCCCTGTCCTCCTGGATGGGCCTCAGCGTAATCCTATTGAGCATGATTTTTTTGTCATCACCTCTCTTCATGACATTGGGTTGTCATCATTGACCCAAGCCTAGAGAGAACACAGCTTCCTATGCTTTGATATCACACAACACCATTGCTTACCTGGCAGGCAGAAAGTGCTTCCCAGGAAGGAATGTTCACATGTGAGTGTGGCAGGCTTCAGCGTGGAATGCTCAGCCAGGGATATCATGGATTACTTGTTTCAAAATTTGAAGAACGTCTTCTCTAAAGAAGGAAAAAGGAAGCTGTCAAGGTACTTCATTTTCCATCACAACTAAACTATTTAAGCGGAAACCAGAGTGCAATAGCTCTCCAGGAATAATTCACTTGATCAGCATCCCAACTGCTCCTGGCTATTCTGTCCTACTGTGAAGGACAACCACAAGAGTTTCTTTTTTCTAACTTGGTGAGAAAGTCTATGCAATCACACAAGACAAATGCGTTCCAACCCAGATATAGTACTCCCTCTAAAGCACTAGTCAGATCATATATGCAGTATGTTAAAATATGGGGTAGGGTACAACACTCAGCTTGACATGAGCAATTAATAAAAACTGTACCATAAAAAGGCAACATTTTAGAGTTTTTAGAGTCTCTTTGAAGGAACCCACATTTTCCCCATTCTGGTTGAAGGGAGGGTTCATTCATCTCCAAAGACTAACCTACATTTTTTTATTAAGTGAGTCATACTCTCCCTTGAACTCATCACAGCTCCTGGGTCTAAGCACTGTCTGTTGAATATTCTGCCCCTAGTCAATTTGTTTTAAGGTGTAATGGCTTGCCACGTCTGTATACTGGGAAGGTGGACCGTGTTTGTGAGATTAGTAGGGGAATAGTTGACATGAATGGCATTGTCATTCAGTTCCTGAAAATGTGGTATCTTGTTAAACATATTCCAAAGTAGGCATTTATTTCCTGAATACAGTGAAACTTCTATTTAGTATGCAGTGTAAAGAAGAAAGAGCTGCATGAAACAGTGCAAAGTAAACATGGAGGTTTGTGGGAACCAAGGCAACACATAAAACCTTAACTCATCCACATGGAAATATTTCTTGTGGTGTGAGGGTTTTTCAACTAATTGACAGTAGTTTTGCCTTTTGCAAAGACATTATGTGGAGGCCTCCCATACTGGAAATCTAGAGACAACTTCACTCTCACTGATCAAGGCCCTGTTCCTTGGGTCTCCTGTGTCAAAAAATGAGCAAATTCTGCAAAGTCTTGGCAAGATCTGCAGATATCCTGTCACTCCTCCAATTTTGGTACACCAAGTTGGAAGCCCATGATGAGGAATGAGTTATCCTCCTCTTAGAACTTTCATTAGCTCATCCTTAGGTCGGTAAGAATAATTGGGATTTCGTCAATTTCTTTTCATCCTGTAAATCTCAATATACATGGCAGACTACACTGACAACTGACCCTTCCTTGCTGCATTTGGTTACTATCTTTTTTGCAAATCAAGACCTAAGTGTGGCTGAGATTCTGACATCAAAACATGATGGCGTGGGCCATTTTTAAGGGAAGCCAAAAGCAATGATCATTACACTTACATGAGATCTGTGAGTTTCTATGCTCTACCAGGGCATATCAGATGACTGAAAAACACCAGAAAAGACAAGGCTGTGATCACTAGGGGAGACTTGCAGTCTTGCATTCAAGTAGAATGTGAGACTAGGAACTTGTTGGCACACAGTCTTGTCAAGACAAGTTGACCAGGAGAGTCCAGGTTTCCTCTCATTGGAAACAGGACAAGGTGTTGTGAGGACCTCATGAAAGTCCCCCTCAAGCGGTCCCCAATGAGTAAACAGACCTCTTGGACCCCTGACCTCCTGGTTGGGCTTCAGCGTAATCCTATTGAGCATAATCTTTATGTCATCACATCTCTTCATGACATTGGGTTGTCATCATTGACCCAAGCCTTGAGAGAACACAGCTTCCTATGCTTTCATATCACAGAACTCCAGGGCTTACCTGGCAGGCAGAAAGTGCTTCCCGCAAAGGAAGTTCACATGTGAGTGTGGAGGGCTGTAGGGTGGAATACTCTGCCAAGAATACCATGGATTACTAGCTTGAAAAGTTGAAGAACCTCTTCTCTAAAGGAGGAAAGAGGAAGCTGTCAAGGTACTTCATTTTCCATCTCAACTAAACTATTTAACTGGAAAGCCACAGTGCATGAACTCTCCAGGAATAATTGAATTGAGAAGCATCCCACCTGCTGCTGGCTATTCTGTCCTACTGTGAAGGACAACCACAACAGTTTCTTTTTTCTAACTTGATGAGAAGGTCTATGCAATCACACAGGACAAATGTGTTCCAACCCAGACATAGTACTCCCTCTAAAGCAGTAGTTAGATCATAAATGCACTATGCCAAGATATTGGTTAGGGTCCAACACTCAGCTTGAGATCAGAAATTGATAATAACTGTACCATAAAAAGGCAACTTCTTAGAGTTTTTAGAGTCTCTCTGAAGGAACCCACATTTGCCCCATTCTGGTTGAAGGGAGGGTTCATTCGTCTCCAAAGTCTAACCTACATGTTTATAATAAGTGAGCCATACTCTTCCTTGAACTCATCACAGCTCCTGGGTCTAAGCTTCGCATGTTCAGTTTTCTGCCCCTAGTCAATTTGTTTTAAGGTGTAATGGCTTGCTATGTCTGGATACTGAGAAGGTGAACCATGTTTGTGAGCTTTGTAGGGGAATAGTTGACATGAATGGCATTGTCATTCAGTTCCTGAAAATGTGGTATCTTGTTAAACAAATTCAAATGTAGGCATTTATTTCCTGAATAGTGTGAAAATTCATTTTTTATGCAGTGAATAGAAGAAAGGGCTGCATGAAACAGTGCAAAGTAAACATGGAGGTTTGTGGGAACCAAGGCAAAACATAAAACCTTAACTCATCCACATGCAAATGTTTCTTGTAGAGTGAGGGTTTTTCAACTAATTGACAGTAGTTTTGCCTTTTGCAAAGATATTATGTGGAGGCCTCCCATACTGGGAATCTAGAGACAACATCACTCTCCCTGATCAAGGCTCTGTCCCCTGGTTCTCCTGTGTCATAAAAATGAGCAAATTCTCCAAATCTTGGAAGAATCTGTCGATATCCTGTCACTCCCCCAAATTTGGTACACAAACTAGGAAGCCCATGATGAGGAATGAGTTATCCTCCTCTTAGAACTTTCATTAGCTCATCCTTAGGTGTGTAAGAATAATTGGGATTACATCAAATTCTTTTGATCCTGTAAATCTCAATATCTACATGGCAGACTACACTGACAACTGACCCTCCCATACTGCATATGGTTACTATCTTTTCTGAAAATCAAGACCTCAGAGTGGCTGAGATTTTGACACCAAAACATGATGGCGAGGGCCATTTCTAAGGGAAGCCAAAAGCAATGATCATTACACTTACCTGAGATCTGTGAGTCTCTGGGATCTACTAGGGCATATCATATGACTGAAAAACACCAGAAAACACAAGGCTGTGATCAGTAGGGGAGACTTGCAGTCTTGCATTCAAGTAAAATGTGAGACTAGGTCCTTGTTGGCACACAGTCTTGCCAAGACAATTTGACCAGGAGTGTCCTGGTTTCCTCTCATGGGAAACATTACAAGGGCTTGTGAGGACCTCAGGAAAGTCCCCCCAAGAGGTGCCCAATGAGTTAAAGGACCACTTGGACCCCTGTCCTCATGGGTGGGCCTCAGCGTAATCCTATTGAGCATGATTTTTAATTAATCACCTCTCTTCATGTCACTGGGGTGTCATCATTGACCTAAGCCTAGAGAGAACACAGCTTCCTATGCTTTGACATCAAACAATACCAGTGCTTACCTGGAAGGCAGAAAGTGCTTCCCAGGAATAATGTTCACATGTGAGTGTGGAGGGCTGCAGGGTGGAATGCTCTGCCAGGGATACCAGGGATTACTAGCTTGAAAAGTTGAAGGACCTCTTCTCTAAAGGAGGAAAGAGGATGCTGTAAAGGTACTTCGTTTTCCATCACAATTAAACTATTTAAGTGGAAAGCCACAGTGCAAGAGCTCTCCAGGAATAATTCAATTGAGGAGCACCCCAACTGCTGCTGGCTATTCTGTCCTACTGTGAAGGACAACCACAATGGTTTCTTTTTTCTAACTTGGTGTGAAGGTCTATGCAATCACACAGGACAAACGTGTTCCAACCCAGACATAGTACTCCCTCTAAAGCAGTAGTCAGATCATATATGCACTATGCCTAGATCTGGGTTAGGGTCCAACACAATGCTTGAGATCAGCAATTGATAAATCTGTACCATAAAATGGCAACTTCTTAGTGTTTTTAGAGTCTCTTTGAAGGAACCCACATTTGCCCCGTTCTGGTTGAAGGGAGGGTTCATTTGTCTCCAAAGACTAACCTACATGTTTATACTAACTGAGTCACACTCTTCCTTGAACTCACCACAGCTCCTGGGTCTAAGCACAGCGTGTTCAATGTTCTGCCCATAGTCAATATGTTTTAAGGTGTAATGGCTTGCCATGTCTGTATATGGAGAAGCTGAACCATGTTTGTGACTTTTGTAGGTGAATGGTTGACATGAATGGCATTGTCATTCGGTTCCTGAAAATGTGGTATCTTGTTAAACAAATTCCAAACTAGGCATTTATTTCCTGAATACGGTGAAACTTCTGTTTTCAATGCAGTGAAAAGAATAAAGAGCTGCATGAAATAGTGCAATGTAAACATAGATGTTTTTGGGAACCAAGGCAACACATAAAACCTTAACTCATCCACATTGAAATGTTTCATGTGGAGTGAGGATTTTTCAAACAACTGACAGTAGTTTTGCCTTTTGCAAAGAGATTATGTGGAGGCCTCCCATACTGGAAATCTAGAGACAACTTCACTCTCACTGATCAAGGCCCTGTCCCCTGGGTCTCCTGTGTCATAAAATGAGCAAATTCTGCAAAGTCTTGGCAGGATCTGCAGATATCCTGTCACTCCTTCAAATTGGGTAAACCAAGTTGGAACCCCATGATGAGGAATGAGTTATCCTCTTCTTAGAACTTTGATTAGCTCATCCTTAGTTGGGTAAGAATATTTGTGATTTCAGCAATTCTTTTCATCCTGTAAATCTCAATATCTACATGGCAGACTACACTGACAACTGACCCTCCCTTGCTGCATATGGTTACTATCATTTCTGAAAATCAAGTCCTCAGAGTGGCTGAGATTCTGACAGCAAAACATGAAGGCATGGGCCATTTCTAAGGGAAGTCAAACGCAAAGATCATTACACTTACCTGAGATCTGTGAGTCTCTGGGTTCTACCAGGGCATATCAGATGACTGAAAAACACCAGAAAACACAAGGCTGTGATCCGTAGGGGAGACTTGCAGACTTGCATTGTCATTCGGTTCCTGAAAATGTGGTATCTTGTTAAACAAATTCCAAAGTTGGCATTTATTTCCTGAATACAGTGAAACCTCTTTTTTGAATGCAGTGAAAAGAAGAAAGAGCTGCTTGAAACAGTGCAAAGTAAACATAGAATTTTGTGGGAACCAAGGCAACACATGAAACCTTAACTCATCCACATGGAAATGTTTCTTGTGGAGTGAGGGTTTTTCAACTTATTGACAGTAGTTTTGCCTTTTGCAAAGACATTATCTGGAGGCCTCCCATACTGGAAATCTGCAGAAAACTTCACTCTCACTGATCAAGGCTCTGTCTCCTGGGTCTCCTGTGTCATAAAATGAGCAAATGCTGAAAAGTCTTCGAAGGATCTGCAGATATCCTGTCACTCCTGCCAATTTGTTAAACTAAGTTGGAATCCCATGATGAGGAATGACTTATCCTCTTCTTAGAACTTTGATTAGCTCATCCTTAGGTGGGTAAGAATAATTTGGATTTCAACAAATTCTTTTCATCCTGTAAATCTCAATATCTATATGGCAGACTACACTGACAACTGACCCTCCCTTGCTGCATATGGTTACTATCTTTTCTGAAAATCAAGTCCTCAGAGTGGCTGAGATTCTAACAGCAAAACATGAAGGCATGGGCCATTTCTAAGGGAAGTCAAATGCAAAGATCATTACACTTACGTGAGATCTGTGAGTCTCTGGGCTCTACCAGGGCATATCAGATGACTGAAAAACACCAGAAAAGACAAGGCTGTGATCAGTAGGGGAGACTTGCAGTCTTGCATTCAAGTAGAATGTGAGACTAGGTCCTTGTTGGCACACAGTCTTTGCCAAGACATGTTGACCAGGAGTGTCCAGGTTTCCTCTGATGATAAGCAGGACAAGGGCTTGTGAAGACCTCAGGAAAGTCCCCACAAGAGGTCCCCAATGAGCTAAAGGACCACTTGGACCCCTGTCCTCCTGGTTGGACCTCAGAGTATTCCTATTGAGCATGATTTTTATGTCATCACCTCTCTTCATGACAATGGGTTGTCATCATTGACCCAAGCCTACATAGAACACAGCTTCTTATGCTTCGATATCACACAACACCAGTGCTTACATGGCTGGCAGATAGTGCTTCCCCGGAAGGAATGTTCCCATGTCAGTGTGGAGGGCTGCATGGTGGAATGCTCTGCCATGGTTACCATGGATTACTAGCTTGAAAATTTGAAGAATGTCTTCTCCAAAGGAGGAAAGGGGAAGCTGTCAAGGTACTTCATTTTCCATCACAACTAAACTATTTAAATGGAAAGCCACAGTACAAGAGCTCTTCAGGAATAATTCAATTGAGCGGAATCCCAACTGCTGCTGAGTATTCTGTCCTACTGTGATGGCAACCACAAATGTTTCTTTTTTCCAAGTTGGTGAGAGGGTCTAGGCAATCATAGAGGACAAATGCCTTCCAAGCCAGACATAGTACTCCCTCTAAAGCTGTAGTCAAATCGTATATGCACTATGCCAAGATATCGAGTAGGGTCCAACACTCAGCTTGAGATCAGCAATTGATAAAAACTGTATCATAAAAAGGCAACTTCTTAGAGTTTTTAAAGTCTCTTTGAAGGAACCCACATTTTCCCCGTTCTGGTTTAAGGGAGGGTTCATTCGTCTCCAAAGCCTATCCTACATGTTTATACTAAGTGAATCATACTGTTCCTTGAACTCATCACAGCTCCTGGGTCTAAGCATAGCATGTTCAATGTTCTGCCCATAGTCAATTTGTTTTAAGGTGTAATGGCTTGCCATGTCTGTATACTGAGAAGGTGAACCATGTTTGTGAGTTTTGTAACGGAAAGTTATCCTAACTTTGCGAGGAGGTCTATGCAATCACACAACTAAGCTATTTATTTGGAAAGCAACAGTGTAGAGCCCTCCAGTACTATTTCAGTTTACCAGAATCCCTACTGCTCCTCCTTATTCTATTCTATTGTGAAGAGCACCACCAAGGGTTTCTTTCGTCTACCTCTGTGGGAAGGTCTATTCAGTCATGAAGGAAAAATATGTTCCAACATAGACATAATGCACCCTCTAAATCAAAATCAATAGTGAGTTCATATATGCTCTGTTCCAATCCTATAGGTAGGGTCCAACACTCAGCTTGAGATCAGCAATTGATAAAAACCTTACCATAAAAAGGCAACTTCTTTCAGTTTACAGAGTCTTTTTAAAGAACCCATATTTTCCTCTTTTAGTTTGAAGATAGATTTCATTTGTTTCAAAAGCCTAACCTTCACGTTTACACTAAGTGAGTCATATCGTTACTTGAACTCTTCACTGGTTCTGGGGCAAGGCAGAGCATTTTCAATGTTCTGCCCCAAATCAGTTTGTTTTAAGGTGTAATGGATTGTCAGTTCTATATAATTAAAAGGTGAACCTATTTTGAGTTGAGTTGAGTTGAGTTTAGAAGGGGAAGGATTTACATGAATGACATTGACATTCGGTTCCTGAAAATGTTGTTCCCCGTGAAACAGCTTCTAAGGTAACCATTAGTTTCCTGAATGCAGTGAAGCTTCGTTGCTGAATGCAGTGAATATTGGAAAGAGGTGCAGGACACACTGAAAAGGAAATATGGAAGTATGTGGGAAATAAGGCAACACACAAAACCTTAACCCATTCGCATGGAAACTTAACTATGGAGTGACCGTTTTTCAAATAATTTACAGTAATTTTGCCTTTTGCAAAGTCATTATATAGAGGCCTTCCATACTCGAAATCTAGAGACAAAACTTTCTCACTAATCAAGGCTCTGTGCAATTGGTCTCCTGTATCATAAAAAGAGCAAATTCTGCCGAGGCATGGAAGTCTGTGTAGATTTTCAGTTTTCCTGTAAATATGATCAACCAAAATGGAAACCCATGATCAGGAATGTGTCATTCTTTTCTAAGAATGTTTATAAATTCATAATTAGGTGGGTAAGTTCACTAGGAGTGTCCAGGTTTCCTCTCATGGGAAACAGGACAAGGGCTTGTGAGGACCTCGTGGAAGTCCCTTCAAGAAATCCCAAAAGAGTTTAATGACTACTTGGAACCATGTTCTCCTTGTTGGACCTCAGTGTAATCCTATTGAGCATGATTTTTATGTCATTACCAATCTTCATTACATTAGATTTTCATCATTGACCAAAGCTTAGAGAGAACACAGCTTCCTATGCTTTGATATCACACAACACCAGTGCTTACCTAGCAGGCAGAAAGTGCTTCAGAAGGAGGAATATTCACATGTGAGTGTGGAGGGCTGCAAGGTTGAATGCTCTGCCAGGGATGCAAGGGATTACTAGCTTGAAAAGTTGAAGAATTTCTTCTAGTAAAAAGTAAAGAGGAAGATGTGAAGGCACTTCATTTTCTGTCACAAATACACTATTTAAGTGGAGGGAAACAGTGTAAGAGTTTGCCACGAATAATTCAATTGAACAGAATCCTAACTGCTACTGCCTATAATTCTACTGTGAAGGGCTCCTTAAAGGGTTTTTTTTTTCTCTACCTCGGTGAGAAGGTCTATGAAATAATTCAGGACAAATGCAGTCCATCCCAGATGTATTACTCCCTCTAAAGCAGTACACAGATCATATGACCTAAGACAAACCATTGTGTAGCATCCAATACTCAGATTGTGATCTGCAATTCATAAAAATGGTACCAATAAAAAGGCTACTTCTTAGAGTTTATAGAGTCCCTTTGAAGGAACCCATGTTTTGCTCTATCAATTTAAAAGGAGGGTTCATTCTTCCCTAAAGACTAACCTGCATGTTTTCACTGAGTGAGTCATACACCTCCTTGACACAGAGGATAAGTCCAAATGTTTTTTCAGAGTATTTCTCTACTGCCTCTTCTGAACTACAAGGTCCAGCACCCACAAGATTTCTTGTATAGGTTACTAAGAATATCACTAAAAGCACAATGTACCATTGTATTCTAAGACAGAATTAATTGCATACTCTAGATGCAAAAGCCAGTTCACCTATGAAATTTGCCTTACTTCTGAGGAAATGCCAGCATTCTGCTTCAGCACCCAAAATTATGTGAACAAGACAATAAACATGCAATTACATGTAGACTATACAGTCCGTTTGAAGGTACCTCTCTGTTCCTCATTCAATTGCAAGGGCAGGATGTTGGGAGCTGACTCTGAGCAGAAAACAGCTATCATATTTGCAGTTGTCTTGAACCGTATACCCTGACAAAAGACTTGTTTTCAACAGCCTACAACAGCTGAGCACACTCTGATAATTATCTTGATCCTTTCAATCAAGGCCAGTCAGTGGTGGCACAGGGCTTTAATCCCAGTACTTTAGAGACTCAAGGTAAGACTCAAGGCAAGACTCGAGGTGAGATTAAAGGCGAGACTCAAGACAAGACTCAAGGAGAGATTAAAGTCGAGACTCAAGGCGAGACTTGATGAGAGATATAAAAGGAGAGACTTGAGGGGAGAATAGGGCAGACTAAGTCTCCAGAGCAGACTCAGCACACTCTGTCTTATCTCCAGAGAAGACTCTGTCTCGTCTCCAGATCAGACTCCCTGTCTTGTCTCTATTCTTCCAGTCTCTGTCCCCACACTCTCTCTTGCTAGGCCCTGACGCATGAAACGAAGCAGCAGAAAGGGCTGTTACAAAGTGGCTCCTCAAACATGGAACAGCTCAGGCGGCTATAAAGTGGCGCCAAACGTGAGGCAGCAAGAAGGAGAAACCCAGTAAGGGACATTACCAGAAGAAGGATCGACTGAAAATTCAGAAGTGAAACAAAGGTGATTGCTGTGAAAACCTGCCATGTGGAGAACAGTAGGTCATAGTAATGATAATGTGGCAAATAAGAAGTCAGCCTGAATTCAACTCTCAGCCTGATTTCAACTCTTTGTTTTTGTTTAGTTGTTTGCTGCTAATGTGTGTCAATTGTTTGCTTCTGTTTTGCTGTTTAAATGCTGTCTTTCATGTTCAAAAGAAAAAGAAAAGCATAGAATCCAAAATACAACCAAAGATTGAAATAATCGATTCGTCAGAGCCAGATTGTGCTGACCTAGAGGAAGAGACAGCCAAAAATTACGACCATGAATGGTCCTCTTCCCAGAGACCCCTTCCCTCTGCTCCTCCACCTCCAGATGCTCCTGCTATGGAGATGGTTGCTGTATATTTCAGAAATGAGTTACAGGACAAAATTTCTCTGCTTAAACAACAAATAGTGTTAGAGAAAGAGTATCGGGACTTAATTAATCAGCTACAAAAATTAAAGACAGGGAAGATGTCTCGAGAGGACAACAAAAATCCCTCAGGTCCTCAAATTCCTCAACCTGGAGTCCAAAGGCAGCCTCTGCCCTCTGGTTTTAGTTCAGCTAGAGATCAGCTAGAGGAGAGAGAGGATAAAGTTTTCCCTGTATCAGAGACTAGAGATGCTCAAGGGGTTGCTTGGAGACATCACACAGGGTTTAATTTTCAAATTATTAAAGAATTAAAAAATTTGGTGGCAGAATATGATGCCACTGCTCCCTTTACTCTTGCAATCTTAGAATCTGTTGCAGAGGAGTGGCTGACTCCTGGTGATTGGAATGCTCTAGTGAGAGCAGTTCTTAGTGGTGGTGACTATCTTATTTGAAAATCAGAGTATCATGAGAATTATAAAGAGACAGCTAGGAGAAATATTCAGGCAGATAATGGTTGGTCCTTTGAAGCCTTAGTAGGAGAAGGGCAATTTGCTTCTAGTGATAACCAGATGCAATATGACTGAGGCTTATTTGCTCAAATTCAAAATGCAGCCATGAAGGCTTGGCACAAACTCCAGGTAAAGGGAGACCCTGGTGCATCTTTGACCTCAGTCAGACAAGGGCCAGATGAACAATTTTCTGATTTTGTTCATCGATTAATGACAACAGCAGGGAGGATTTTTGGTAATATAGAGGCAGATGTAGATTATGTGGAGCAGCTTGCATATGAAAATGGCAATCCTGCCTGCTAAGCAGCCATTAGCCCCTATAGGAAAAAGACAGACCATACTGGGTATATCAGACTCTGTTCTGACATAGGGCCCTCCTACCAACAGAACTTAGCTATGGCAGCAGCCATGCAAAGACAATCAGTAAGAGATTTTTTTGGCAAGCAGAGACAAAAAGGCCTGTTTTAAATGTGGCAAGTCTTGACACTTTGCCAAAGATTGCAAGGCAGAAAATGATTTAACCCAGAGATAGCCTAGAATACAGCCTGGCCTATGTCCATGTTGCAAACTTGGAAGGCATTGGGCTAGTGAATGTAGGTCCAAGACAGATGTACAAAGAAACACCCTTTCCCATAATCAAGGAAATGGGAACAGGGGCCAGCCCCAAGACCTGAGCCAATACAGTCAAAACAGGCTTATGGGGTAGTCAGTATCATACCAGCAAACAACAACCTCTTTGAGAACTTAGTCAAGCAACCCCAGGAAGCACAGGACTGGACCTCAGTTCTGCCACCCACACAGTACTAACCCCAGAAATGGGACCTCAGGCTTTACCCACTGGTGTGTTTAGACCACTCTGTCCAAATGTGTTTGGCCTGATAGTGGGAAGAAGCAGTGCTACTATGCAGGGACTACAAATTTTTTCTGGAGTTATAGACAATGATTATCAAGGTGAGATTAAGGTAATGGCCAAGGCAATACAGAATATAGTCACTATTCCTACAGGAAAAAGGATAGCTCAACTATTGTTACTTCCATTGATTCCTACTAATCACAAATATAAGAGTCCTAAGAGAGGGGATCAAGGCTTTGGTTCCTCTGATGCATACTGGGTACAGACTATAGTTAAACAAAAATCTATGATGACAATATTGCTTGATGGGAAGGCATTCCAAGGTTTGGTTGATACAGTAGCTGATGTGATGATTATCAAACAAAACGATTGGCCTGCCATCTGGCCTCTGACCCCAACTTTAACCAATAAAGGGGTATTGGCCAAAGTTAAAATCTACAGCAAAGCTCTAAGGTGCTGATATGGAAAGATAAAGAAGGGAATACAGAGAATATACAACTCTATGTCATCCCGGGCCTTCCCATTAATCTCTGGGGCAGAGATCTATTATCCCAGTTAGGATTGATTATGTACAGCCCTAATGAAGTAATCATGGCTCAAATGATAAACTCTGGATTTTCTCCAGCAAAAGGATTAGGAAAACATGAAAATGGGATTACTCATCCTATTGAGGTCCATGGTAACCCTGGAAGAAGAGGCTTGGGGTAGTTTTGATGGAGGCTATTGATACAGCTGCACCCCTAGGGCGTTGTGCTGATCCCATCACCTGGAAGGAGGACTCGCCCATCTGGGTGGATCAGTAGTCCCTAACAACCGAAAAATTACAAGCTGTTCAATTGCTAGTGCAGGAGCAATTACAGGCATGACATTTAGAAGAGAGTAACTCTCCCTGGAATACCCCAATATTTGTCATTAGGAAAAAGTCAGGAAAGTGGAGATTGTTACAAGACTTGAGGGCTGTTAACATGACCATGATTCTGATGGGAACCTTTCAACCTAGGCTGCCCACACCAGTGGCCATACCTTTAGGCTATTATAAAATAGTTATAGATTTAAAAGACTGTTTCTTTACTATCCCTTTGCATCCTAACAATAGAAAGCGCTTTGCTTTTAGTGTTCCTGCTATAAACTTTAGAGAACCTATGAAAAGATATCAATGGAAGGGCTTGCCTCAGGGTATGGCTAACAGTCCTTCCTTGTGCCAAAAGTTTGTGGCTTCTGCCATAGAGGGCGTTAGAACCATGTGGAAACAAATCTACATAAATCATTTCATGGATGATATTTTAATAGTGGGAAAAGATGGAAAACAGGTACTCCAGTGCTTTGATGATCTTAAAACAGCTTTACAGACTGCAGGGCTACAAATAACACCAGAAAAGGTACAATTACAAGATCCATATACTTATTTAGGATTTCAGATTAATGGTCCATGTATTATTAACAGTAAGGCCACTTTGAGGACTGATTCCCTTAAGACATTTAATGATTTTCATAAACTTTTGGGAGACATTAATTGGCTATGACCATATTTGAAACTTACGACAAGAGAGTCGAAACCTTTGTTTGACATTCTCCAAGGAGATCCTGACCCTAAGTCTGGCAGGGCTCTAAGAGAGGAGCATAGAAAAGC